AGGCTGGGTGAGCAGCAGCCCGGCCCCAGAGGTAGCAAGATGATGCCAAACCTCCTAATGGAGCCTGACAGCAGTGGGATTGAAAGCACAAGTGAGATCGCAATCCCTCTGCAATCATCTTCTGCCTTGGAAGAGCTGAATTAGAAAAGAAACCTCCTGGCAGCGGGGAGGGGTGGGAACACACACGCAGGGTGAGGGCAGCAGGGGCTAGGGGGAAACCTCACCCATCCCAAGCCCTCCTCACTTGCACTGCCAACCCATCATCAATAGGAAGGAGCCAAGCTCCCCCCCGCCAGCAGCACCAGCGAAGAGTTTCACCAGCAACAGCCCAATTCCAACTGGTCCCTGGGGGGTTGGTACTTCTACTGCCCTAGACTTTGGATACAGAGCAGCCCACACGATGCACTGCTCATGCCTTCCTCTCCCTGCCTGCGAGCTCAAGGCATTGCACAAGGCCCCCCCTTCTCCCTCTCCTTTGGGCGGTGCGCTTGGAGCGGTGCCATTGGTGCTGGAAACAATGCCCAAGCAGCCGGGTCCAAGCTGGAGACAGGAGGACTCACTCAGATGCAAGCGGGTGCTCAGCAGGACACCCGCGGCCCCTACTTCTGCAGGACGGAGTGCACACCGCCCCTCACAGCTGGCACCAAGCCCCATCTGTCCCAGAGCACAGCCCTTGTTTAACTAAAAGGCAGCGCTGACCACATTTCCCACCCGAAGGATGCTCCAGCAGCACTGCTGCCCCAGGCCTCCTTCATCCTCCTTCCCGCAAGCAGGAATACCTCAGCATCTCCCCCAAACCCAACCCAAATGGGCTTTTGCAGGGACGAAGTGGGGGTTAGCTTGCACAAACCACCCCGGGGGTGGCCGCTAAGTCACCCTCCAAGAAGCCAGGAAGGCACAAGCACTGTCTCAGTCTGTGTCCACCCGAATCCCGGCAGCTAGAGGCTGCTCTCCCGCCTGGCAGTTGTTTGCTCCCAGCAAAATGCAGGGGAAAGCGGGGCTTTTTACTCAAGAAAAAGGGAGCCACTCCAGGGACCGGTGTGTGTGCTCGGGAGTGGTGGGAAGAGCTGATGGGTTTTGGCACAGTGCTCAGCCTGAAAAGCTAGCTCCAGCTCCAGACCTTGTTTTGCAGTGACCTGTACCGAGAATTGGCTTTTTCCTTTTTCTTGCCAAATGGAAAGAAAAATAAATCCTTCCAGGTCAGAGGAAAGAAAAGCATTTACTTGTGGGTCAACTGAAACAATCTGATGCAGGGCTGAGTGCACTTTTATCCTCCCTAAACCAGGAAAAGATTCCATTTCCATCTGAAAAAACATCTAAATATAAAGAGAAAGGTTTTTGGGGTCAGAAGCACTTGATTTTGGTTTTTAAGCCCAAATGATGTGCTGCATTGAACCCCACTTTGCAAAGCACAGGTTGACCCAAAAGTGCAGAGGGGTGGGGAGGGGATGGGCTGACGCATCGATGTGGAAAATTTCAACTGCGCTGAGACAGCACCAACCACAGCGGCAGCAGCCATGGCAGGGGCCAGCCCGGGACCCCCTATGTCCCCAGCATGCAGCTCGGCTACCCCAACCTCAGCTCCTGCCAAGCCCGGCTGCACGCCAGGGTGCCAGGAGGGAGGTGTTTGGCTGCCTCCACAGCACTTTGTTCATCCGAAGCAAGCTGTCACTTTGCAGCCTCCTCCCCGCCAGCCAAATGCTTCCTGACAGCCCGTTTAAAACTCAAAGCACCCGATTACTGCCACAACCAGGCAGCTGCTCACAGACACCGCAAGAAACTCTTCCATACCCCCCACCCCCAAAACGAAATCCCTGTCTAGAGCATCACTCCCCACCCTTTCCTGACCTACACACACCCACGGGGCACCAGGGTCCTTCTCGAGCTGGTCCGGGTCTGGCTCCGCTCTCACGTGCATGGCCTCGGTCGAGGGGCTCCTATGTTTCCATCACCGAAACGCCAGCACCTGCTTCCCACCACCCCAGCACAGGGAGGAGAACTGCCCACCCTGGCTCCATCCACCTGGCAGGGCTGACCCCCGACCCCACACGTCGCCTGAGCCCATTAGTGAGTCCCCAGAGCGCACACCTCACTGGCGTTTTGCTTAACCCTGGCTTTTAGGGAATGCTGCAGAGCTGCACCACCTTTCAATTTTTAATTTGCTCTAAACATTTTGGTCCTCTCCCCTGGGGACTCCCAGTCGATAACCTCTGCCGGCAGCACTGCCGCCCCATAACTATAGGGAGGGTGGAAACTGGGGGCAAAGGAGAGGAAAGCAGCTCCACCCCAAGCTGCTCTCCTTTGGAGGAGCAGGACCCCTTTGCACACATGGCCCAGGATGAGTGACAGCTCTGCCAGGTGCTCCAGTGAAAGGGCCCCCAGTGCCCCACGGAGATGCTCCTCAAGGAGGACGGGGTGACCCCCACCCCCTCCAGGGACCCAACACCTGCAGAGACAGGGTTGTCGCACCTTCCTCCTTTTCATCAGACACCTCTGTGGGGTTAGGTCCCTCCCAACTTCACAGCTTGCTCAGGTTTACCCTGATGCCTGGCACAGCCACCCCTCCTTCCCCACTGCCTGGCACTGGTGCAGCAATGCCCTGGAGCAGGGGCACGAATGCAGCATCACTTTCCAGTCCCCGAGGCATCTTCCCTGTTTTCCACTGCCTTAAGCAACGAACGTACAAACAGGGACCTGCTGGGCATGAGAAACGCGACCTGAGCTGCTCTGGGAAGAGAGATGCCACCGCACAGCTGAAAAGATCAGCCCAGGTCACCCTGGAGCAGAGTGGCAGCTCCGGGTTGCTTTTCTGTCCCCCAAGTGCTGGGGGGGTGGGTGGGGGTGGGGTCCCGGCTCAGGGTTAAGGCTCAGTTCTTCACACACCTTTTATCTTGATTGAAAGGGTGTGGAAAACTAATCAAGCACTTGCAGACACGAATGGCAAAACCTTATAGGAAAAAAAAATATCCTGACCAGTTAAGCATCAGAAAAGGTACATGGGATCGCAGCAAAGCCCTGCACCCTGCCTCCAACAGGTACCAGGGAGAGCATGTGAAAAGGGTAATGCGCAGTGGTAATAGCCCAGAATATGCTCACTCTCTCCCTCCAAAAATTGGCAGATTAGGGAGCTCCCAAGTCACAAGGGATGCCTTGATACTGCTTAATGCTTGCTGGCTCCCTCCCACGAATTTGCCTGCTTCCTTTCCGCACACATGTAAGCTCCCAGTGTCCGCACCCCCCCTCCCAGACCTGCACAGCATCTTCCCATCCCCAACTTCCTGGGACAGCTCACGCTGAGCAGCAGTGGGACCCACCCCCAAAAGCCTCCAGTTACACCTCCAGGCAGACATGGGACCCCGCTGCACCCCAGGCAGGGAGCAGGGACAGAGGCAGGCCCAGCCAGGCACAGGGATACTGCCCACCCAGCAGGGTCTTCTTCAGCTCCTCGCTTCCCTCACCCTCCCAGACCCCCAGAGATGAGGAGTTCTAGGCTGAAGGGAGCCAAGCTGCTGACAGCTGGCCTCGGCCGCCACCTAGCAGTGACCCAACAGCGGCAGGGAGAGGGCAACAGCTCACTCCTCCAGCCTGCTGGCTCCCGCTGCAGTCCAGGGACAGACAGGGGAGGACGTGGGGGTCTCCTCGGGACACCCCACCCCAGCCCTCACCTCCCTGAAACCAAAGAGGACTTCTGCAGCAGAGGGTGGTGTTGGAGACAAGCACTCCATCGCCCAGACCGCTCCAAGCGACCTCAGCTCTGTTTCAGTCGCTCCCTACACAAGATGACAAACACATGCGGATGCAACCCCCCAGCCTGAAGCCCGAATGCAGGACCAGCAACATCAGGCAGCCTCTGAACTTCCCCGCAGGGCTGTACAGCCCCTGCTCAAGCCATAGCTCCTCACCTCTCTGCTTCTGTCTCCTTCATTAGCTTTCCACACAGTTGTTTCCTAATGAGCCCCAGATTTTCTTTTGCTCTCTACATTTTTTTTTTTTAGCCCTTTCACATCCAAAACCACCCCTAAATGCCGAAATTAAAATAGTCACAGAATCATAGAATGGCTTGGGTTGGAAGAGAGCTTTAACGATCAGCTAGTCCAATCGATAAAGTTCTTACGCTGGGCTTTTATCCATTCCAATATTAATGTTAAACCCTATCTTGAGCTCTTCTTGGTGGTTTGCAGTGAAGCATACCTCTGGCATGTTTGCAGGTGGGCACAGCAGCCTTTGAAGCCCCTGAAGACCTGAAGAACAGCCTAGGCACCAGCAAACCAGCTGAATGCCAGCATTTATAAACCAGGGCACTTCTATTTTCACAGCTTTTCTCTGCATTAACAAACTCTAGCCCAAGAGGATTTCTTGCCACAGGCAGGGAGCTACATATGCATGGCCAACATCAAACTTCAAGCTTTCTCTCACTGGATTCTTTATAGATGTCATTCGATATCTGTAACATGGGATTCCTGATGCTTCTTATGTGTGGCATCCTAATTCATCGACAAATCAGAGCGTCTTCTTCTTGGGGAAGGAGGTTTCTTTTTGCAAGTTACCAGCACTTAACATGGACTGAGGCCTGAGCTGGGATACAACCACCTCTCCTAACAGCAAGGAGTGTGTAGAGCATCCACAGTGTTAAAAGACAAAAACATCTCCCCAGACAATGTCAAAACTGCTTGTGCACTGAGAGAGGGATAGGTAGCCAGTTTCCCTCTCCTAAACTTAAAGGATATATAACACAATGTGACACTTAAATGTTCTCCCAAACCATTACATTAAAGAGCAATAAATCAGTACACCACCAGTACAACAAAACCAAACTATTTTCCTGAAAGTAAGAGTGACATTTATCACACATACTGGGCACATCTGAGAAGACATCAGACTCCAAGTTTTTCAAGGGATTAAACGTTTCTCAACGAAGAAAATGACAGCACGGTCATACAGAGGGCCTTTGCTGCTCTAGGCAGCCTTCCTCGGCAGCTGCTCCAGCTTCTCCCCTCTTCTCACACCTTCCTTCTCAGGCTGGGGAGCCACTGGAAGTAGTCACTGGAAGTGGCTAAGCGTGCAGCTGCCAACACTGCAGATAGCGTGGTAGGAGGGACATACAGTTTCCGAGATGGCCCTTGGTCAGACAGCCCACTGGCACCGCACAGGCCAACTGCAAGACTCCCGGGAAGGTCTTTGTTCTTCATTTTCTCTTCATCTGCATAAGGAGGGACACAGAAAAGAAAGATGGTATCTACACTGGCAACTCTAAGAGCTCCAGTTTAGACTGAAATCCCTTTTGCCTGGACCTTACCAGGTCACGGCAAGAGAACTTTCTACTGCACGCCTATTTGATGAGCCCGACACGATATAATCTGAGAGCCTCTCTCCCTCTCCTCCCAGTGCTCACCCCCGTTTCCCCAGAGGTGGGAAATCAGATGTGAATTGAGCAGCTTCTGTCTGGAGAACGGGGCCTCCACTCAGACAGACGGCAGACAGCTCTGTTCCAAGGCACAAACAGGCACTGTCTTTGGCAAGTCAATCTACTTCGTAAATTGGGCAACTGTCATATGGGTGTTGTAAATTCTTTCATCATTTGGAAGATGGAAGATGAACACCCACGCAGGGACCTTACAGGGTTAAAAAAATGCTTTTGCCCCTTATGGTTGGGAGATTGAGAGACTCTCAGTATGAAATGAACACAGGCTAACGTATGGAGTAGGGAAACAAAGACTTCTGCATGAAAGCAGCAGAAAGTCTAGAAAAGACAACAAAAATCAACAGAGAAATAACTCTCAATTCATTTGTTCCCATTAAACATTTAGAAAACCATTTTGCTGCACAAAGGTCAAACCAATGCACCGCATCCAACCATTTATTGTTGTCACATCTCCATCCCACAGAAATACCAACGTTTTCATCTGTTCTAGCAAAGAAGCAGCACCAGTCCTAGGACACCCAATAATGACTGCAAGACTCCTAGCACAGTAACAGACTGTTCAGCTTTCTGCTGTGTTACATTTTACTGACAAATCTATTCGTACTGTTACGGTTGTCCAGCATAAACGGTATTGCCATAAGTAGAACAGAGGGATGCACAGCTTCACGAAGTTGGGCCTTGTTGGAAAATCTTTCTATCTGATCAGGGTCATCTTGGCTCATTTCTGCTGGTTGCTTGGAGTAGATAAAGGAGGTGTAAAAGTCTTCCACTGACTTGAATAAGACAGCAGGCATTGAGGACTCTCCAAGAGAATGAGGTGTCTGCAAATGTATATAAAAAACTCAGGAGAGGGTGTGATTAGTACACACTCAGTTCATTAGCTGCCCTGATCTTTATTATCTCTCAAAGTCCACAAAGAACTGGAATGTCAGCAACTGGATGATTTAAAAAAAAAAAACAAACAAAAACAAACACACACAAACTAGTTACTCACAACCTTGGCCAAAGGGCAGCTTTTCCTGCACAGCAAGCTGAAAAGAGTGACAGATTATTACAAGATGCAAATCACTATGTCTTAGCAAAGAATTAACAGCTGGCTCATCTCTCAGCAGCCCCATGCAGAACAAGCGATAGCAATGATGGAAGGAGTTTCTGCAAGGGAGTGGCAATCGAGTCAGAGGAAGTCCCTCTGCATTTTTGCTTAAGAATACAAATTAAACTTAAGTTCCAGGGATGATCACCCATGTCTCAGCCATAGACAGGGACTAGAGCCAATGTTTGTATTTGTTAATTCAGCGTGGAGGAGAAAAATAGTGAAACGACAGACAAGCAGCAATTCACCTTGCCCAACCATAGGTGTTCAAAAATTAGGTGCTTGCTCTCTATGCTTCTTCCGTTGTCAAGGCAGCAGAAGAAAGGCATCCCTCTTCAGAAGGGGTGAATCACCATCCAGAGGTGCTTCACCCATTGGTGAGAGTCTGTTCAGAGGATTAGCCCAGAACAAAACAATTGTATTTACACAAGCAGATTTAAGCAATTTAAAATGGCCCCCACCAGGGGACCATGAGGCACTCCTGAAGCAGCAAGGAGAACTACACGGCTGGGCAGCAGAAATTCAGTGCTGACAGGATGCCAGGACAGAGTAATTTGAATGACAGGCATCACTGGAGTCCAATTAACCAGCTACTCAGCTTGATATCACCAGCCCACTGAAATCCTCTGCCTAACATGCAGTAAAAAATAAAAGTGTTAGGACAACAAGAAGAACAGGGTTAAAAGATGATTATTATCTCCTCTTGCCACCCACGCTATCCTTGTTGGGGGACAGGCAGTGTCACTGCCACTCCAGGGCAAAGCAGAAACAGACAGGGTGCAAGGGTGGACACTACAAATGTCTGTTAGCACTGGAAAAAGCTGGGATGGAAATAATTCAGAAAGAGGCTGTTCAGTTTACAGAAGAGGAAAGTGAGACAGGATATCAAACAGTGCTGTGAGAGGCGGGAAGTAAGGCAGTATCTACTCTTCCTCCTGATTCACACAATTAAGAACACCACCACTGAAAAGGAAAACATGAGCAGTGAAAACTGGAAAGGAGGAAATACCACTTGGTCATGCTGTAAGTGCCACAAAACCCTGAGGCCAAGAGACGAGCAGGAATCAAAGAAAGGAAATCTTCCTGTCTGTCCTCATAACTAGCTGACTGATGCATTTCCCCCCCTCCAATGTATATAGGCAGGATTATTTTTTCATCCCACGGTCTTCCTTAATAGAAATTCTTGTCACTTCTTCTAAGACTGTAACAGAGATCACAGCCAGGGACAGAAAATGTGCCTGGGACTTCTCTGATCCAGTTAGGAAATTCCTATGCTTTGAAATTCACGTAGTTTAATACTTGCAGGGGAGCATTTAAGTCAGCTCACAAGGACCCTATTGCTATCTACCCACCTGCCTCCATCTCATCTCATCATACTTTCTCCCCACACTTGCTACCAGAAACCTTCCTCTTCTCTCATTCCCTCAAGATCCTTTTTCCCAGCTTGCTTTCTCTCCATCCCTTTCAGGTAACATCCTCCAGAGCCACCAATTCTTCCAGCTTTCCCCCTCATCTTTCTAGAAAGTGCTTTGTCTCAGCCACTATCAACCTCCAGACACGTAAGGAGCTGTGGTTGTCCAAAACCTTGTAGGCACACTCCCATTTCCAGCTCTGCAGTGTGTTTTGTGGCTCAACAAATCCTGAGTGATACTGGCTCCCCGCTGAACCCAGAGTGGAACATTTGCAAAATGCCACACTGCAGGCCCTGTTAGACTCATCATTAATCCCTATTTAAGAAGCAAACTCGCAACACCAGCGCAACATAACACCTCAAATCACAGCCCAAAACACAACCCTCCCAAACCCACCCTCCTAACTCAGGAAGAGTTATGATCTGCATGATCCAGAGTAGCCCCACAATAACTCCCAGTTACTCCCAGTAACCTCAAGACTGTAAATGGAGGGGAAGTAGAGGAGTGAAGAAGGGACAGGTTTGATCTATAAAGTGCTGAAACCGTCAGTCTTGTTTCCACAATAGCTTGATGTGCCAGTGGAGCACTAGTGTATCATCAATAACACCAGAAACAACAGCAAAGAGGAAAACGTATAGCTCTGAGCCCATGCTAATAGCCAGTCATTATTTCTTTGTCAGTCACTTTTTAAAAAAAAAAATACATGTCAAAGCAATCAAAGGGTTATTCAAATAATCTAAAACCAAGAACAACCCCTCTCAACAGCAATAGCTGAGAAAAACGCCCTTACCTTAACCGCTGCCATAAGCTCTGTAAGAGTTTCATTTGTATCCTCCTGTGCAAGTTCAGGGTCTTGGTCTGTTTTTCGTGGGACACTCACTTCATCCAAAAGTGGCCGCACATCATCCTGTGTCTCCTTCTTAGCAGACAGGTGCCGTTGCTAAGGAGATGGACAAAGCAAGAAAAGGTACAGCTACTGTGGGCAGAAGAAAGCAGGACGCACTGGAGCAAATTACAAAGCAATCAGATGATACCACTCGGAGATTAACTGAGAGAGAAATGCAAAGGAGCTTTTCTGTTCTGCTCAGAAGTTTTAACATTTTTATCTGGAGAAGTTTGGGCTACTTGGAAAGGACAGAAAGAACATGGAAGGACAGAAAATAATGTGAACAAGAAACTAACTGCCACTTTAACTTCTCTCCTCCACAGTAAAACTTGTCACTTGGAAAGTACAGTTATATTCAAGCAATATTTTCTGGCTATTGCTTGCTGCCTTTTGAGAAATTTTACCATGGAAAAGTGTCCTAACGTAGCAGAGCTGATACAACACAGTGTCCAGCTGGTTTGCACTTAAGGGCAGGGGGGCGGGGGCGGGATGTTGTTAATCCTGACGAGGCAAATCTAAGATTGGACAATGCACAGGGAGTTCCCCACTGCTTAACAGGAGTTACCAGAAAATGCTAGCTGAGCAGTAACAGGTGTCATATTAGACACATTTCATTCCAGTTCAAAACATTGAGTAATTTTATAATTGACATTGATGATCATGTTAGTGATGCACCAAAGAAGAGAAGGAATCGTTCTGGGCAACTAAACAGAACAGCAGAGAAGAAAATTTTTAGTCTTACACAAAGAGAGATCTCGAGGACTGCAATTTCTGGAAAAGGATTCCAAGACCCTTGAAATCAGACAGGAGAAAACCTGAATGCATTTACATTCCTCTAGTCTCCAAATTGCCAGCTATGTCTGACATTTACACACGTGGATCTTGCTACAGTTAACCAGATTTTTCCATAAAAATCACAATAAACTCAGATTTGCAGAGTGTCAGTCACATTAATTTCTTCCAAATACATAAAGATGCTGGTTTGGGACCTTCAGTTCAGACGATGTATTGACAGTGCAAGGCCATTAATATCCAAGATACACAGCTTATATAGAGTTTCTCTAGCACAGAAACACAGTTGGCTAAAACAAGACCCAGGTAAAATGACTCCTTTACAAGTTACTAACATTACACTAGCTTTTACTCTTATTTCAGAGAAATGTCAGAAAAACAGCCCCGGAGCAGGCCCACTGCTGAACACTTCAACAGCTGACATTTACTTGAAAGGTGCTTTGGCCCCTATAATAAAATGTGTCATGAAAATATTACAGCTTAAATAACACAGAAAAGTAGAGAAAGAGTCACCTGTGGACAAGTGTTCCTGATGTTTCTAACGGGCCTACAATAGATTGCACTCAAGACCTGGGTTTTACTCCCTGCTTAACCCCTCTGTTCATCAGTTTCTCCATCTGTTAAATAGCAAAGGGCTCCTCCTTTTAACATGCTCTGAAATCAAAGGTGTAAAGCAGTATCCAGATCTGGATATCATTCTCCTTTAGATTTATCTTTTTACTGAAACTGTAGTTGTGTACAACCTTACCCCCTGCAACAATCAGGATTGCAAATCGCTTTCTTTCAGATAAGTTTAGAACTAACAAGACGCAAATAATACACCACTAGTTCTTCTGGTCTTTTCCCACATTTAAATGATACCCCAAGTTATTACACAATCTTTGCCAAACCCCAGAGATGCGAGAGGAACACACCCCCCTCCTTGGCTCCCAGGGGTGCAAAACATGAACGTGCTAAGTCAAACTGATCTCAAGAATCTGGTACTGGTCTGAGTTCTCGGAGTCCATTCTCTCTCTAACTGAAAAATTATGGTGCATATGGGAGGTTAGAGATATCACTGAGCACACAGACTCCCTGAAGTCTGCAAAGGGTTCAGAGGACAAGCAGCTAGAGATGTATTTATGGTCCACGTGTATTTTTTTTTTTTTTATATTATGGTTCTGCTTGCCTTTTATAAAAGCAAAAAACAACTCCACAAAAAACTGCATGGGACTAAAACAATACATGTCTACCGATCCCTGGAGCTGATTTCATTGAATAATAGCTATGCCACAGTCAAACTCCCACCTGGTCACACAGTTCATCCCCATCCAGCTTTGAGCTTGCTGTTTCGCTATCTGCATCTAGAGATTCCTGCTGCAAGCTAAGGTCTGGCTCCACCAGTTCAGCATTCTCCTGCTTTCCACTGGGCTGAACATACAAGGCTGAAGGATTCAGTTCCTTGAATCCCTAGGAACAAACAAAAAAACCCCCAACCCAGTACAGTCAAGAAAACCATGTTGTAACTGCCACAAAGAATAAAAAGGATTCAGCGAATTTCTAATAGGTTTTATGAAGAAGCACACCACCCACAAGTTAAGACAATTTCTGCAAGAATCTGGAGCTACTACGAAAATCAACTCCCCTCCCTCCAGCAACAAAATTACCCAGCAATGCCCCCCCCCAGTTGTATTTTTGCATGTGTATGTCCAATCATAGGATCTAATCCTGCCAAAACACACATTCTGCATCTATTGAATAAAACAACAGATACAAGCACTCTGGGCTGCAAAGCCTGACTTTCTGCTGAGATAAAAAATCGTGGCACTACCTTTCTAAGGGTTTTCATATCCACACAGTTCTTACTGAAACTGAGCTGAGACATTCAGTTAATGACATAGATGGGCCTACATCATAAATGCTCTCTGCACTGGCTTACAACTTGAATGTCTGTCCAAGGCACAACGTGCAATCTACCACGGTTACGCTGTCCAACATTGTACATTTCACTGGCAAAGTAAGAGACTTTTTAAGCCAAGACCATTTCCATAATTCAGTTTGTTAGTGACATAACCAATCTTCAATGCCTAGAGCAGAGAAAGCCAAAATAATTTATTTAACTATCCTGTTTCTCACTCAACTGCCCCTGCCACTATGTAGCACTACTTTAAGTAAGACAGACAATAAAATCTAATCACTTGCTCTCATTAATTGTTTGGATGAATCAGGGGCCTCAACTTTATGACTAACAAAACTTGCTGGAATTAACAACGGGTAGTGAAGTAACTAACACATCTCTTAACAACCTCTCAATCCATCTCCATTTGGCCTTATGCTCAGAACATCTATAGCTATTTTACTTTTCCATGTTATTTATACAAGATGTGTGTCAGCTCCAGATGAACCTGCAATACTAACTAGCTAATCAACTTAAAAAAAAAAAGGAAATCAAAACCTTCTAAACCACTGTTCTGACAGGATGAAAATATCTTCCCATTACAGGCACCCAACCGATCCTTTCCCTGCCCTTCCTTTCAGCAGCACATGCCTTCCTCCTGACCTGGGAAGGAATGTTCTCTCCGCAGATGTCAGCACATCCCCCATCCCTCAAGACACAGTGGAAGTAGACATCCTCCTCAGTGGATGTGTCACACAGGAAGAGATGCAAAATGCCATTCACGTATTCATCCACGATGCCCACAAGTAACTTGGAGACACACAGCTCCTTGAATAGGAGGGTTGCTGCATTGGACCACGTGCCCTGAAGAAGAAACGAATATAAAGTTACTATAAACAGACCCAACATCCACCGCCTGAGACTTTCCCTTGTGGACACCTGTCAAAAAGGCAATTAAGCTAGGTCAGGCTAGGAACAAATACAGGAAAGTCAGGCAGACAAGCTTCCCAGCACTGAACTAAATCAAACTACCCCAAAGTCTGCAATGCTAGTTACACTGGGAATGCCCTTTCACCCTAAATACCTATTTCCAAACACGGTTCGATAGCATTCACCAGTGATTTTATCACAATTGCCTAAAATACAGTTGTTCGTTTGTTTTTGTTTGTTTTTTTTTTTTTTTTAATTCCTGGAATCATGCGATTATAAATGTTAAAAGTATCAAAAGTTTTTAAGAAGCTGCTAAGCCTCACTACAATGAAAATTGTGATTCTTCAACCCTCAAAAAACCAGAGGAAATAACTCTTTAAAAATAATGTCTTTAAAACAGAGAAGAAGCAACTCTGCTCACATGCTTTCCTTCAGAGATTGTATTTCTCAGGCTTCTTGACCAAGAGGTTTTCCAGCACAGAGAAACTTTCTTACGAACTCTATAATTCTTTGGCTATGCTGATTGCATAGCCAAACAGAAATTTTTAAAACAGAGGGCTGGAGCTACCAAGGCTTCAGAGGGACCCTGGAGAACTACTGGCATGGGAAAAAACAAGTTTGCTCGTTTGCTTAACAGTAGCTATCTGTTTCTGCAATGATGTAAGCAAGAATACTCTGATCATAAGGAAAACAGACAGCGGAAGGGTGATCACTTACAAGAGACTTTCACAGTCATACTCTGCTGAACATAACAGCAGCAATTCGCTGTAAACATCAGTGGGACCTGAATTAATCCAAATGTTCACCCTTATCAGGAGAAAAAGCCAACCTCTACTTGATAGCTCTCATACATATGTCAATAAACAAAACTGCATGTGAACACATACCTCCACAGGTTTTACCCATGCCAAGGAACACGGGATGGCCTGAGCAGGGAGCTTCAAGTAGCACCACCTATAATACAAAATAAAGCCATTGCCATTACAGCAAAACCAAAGCAAACCCAGGCAGAAGAGCAGAACTTCGTCCTCTTCTGGGTATTCCTAAGCTGACTTTAAAAGAGAGGCACGTATTGGATTTTGCACTTAGGAATAAAACCCAACAGCAGCTTTGGAAAACGCTCCATATCCAGAGAATGGGCACAGCAGAAATAGCAGTAACAACTGGTCCCTTTTGCCTTCCCTTGCCCAAGCATCTTCCCATCATAACCCCTTACGATTACAAAGTTATGGACAGAGAACAATGACTTTTGAACCAAAGAATGCCAATGGCCAGGCATGAATAGAGGCAAATGAGAGGGCAGAAGCAAACATGGAAAAGGTACTGAATTGCAGAGGAAAACAAGTACCTCTGATACTACAAATGCGTCCCCACTTAGACTGATATCCATTCAGGAGGATGTTTACATCCCTTCATGGAACCCAGGAACGAGGATTAGGGAGCTTGCCCCAAAGTGACAAAAAATGGCAAGAGGAAAGACTGAGGAATGAAGGCAGAAACAGGAAAGGATTCAGCCCAAAGTCATTGTGAGGGAGTGATGGACAGGGTTGATGAGCAAAGGGCCCAGTGCGATCAGCAAAACAGGTCTTAAACAATGTCACCTCAAGCATTAGCACGTAAGCAAGGAAGTGCCTGCAGGGCACCATTAATAGAATAAAATCCCAGATCCTTTCTAGGAAATCTGCAAGCTGGGATGTCTTTCTGAAGAAAGACAGGTCAGTCAGCGTCACCTTGATCCCTGGGAAAGCGATGAAACAACTAATCCTGGGAACCATTTCCAGACACATGAAGGACAAGAAGGTGACTGGCAGTAGTCAGCATAGATTCACCAAGTCATGCTTGACCAACTTGACAACCTTCGACGATGAAATGACTGGCCTGGTAGGTGAGGGGAGAGCAGTGGGTATTGTTTACCTTGACTTCTGTCAGACTTTTGACACTGTGTCCTGTTAAGATCCTCATAGAGAAGCTAATGAAGCATGGACCGGATGAGCAGACAGTGAGGTAGACTGGGAACTGACTGAAGGGCCAGGCCCAGAGAATGGTGATCAGCGGTACAAAGTCTAGTTGGAGGCCAGGAAGTAGCGCTGTACCCCAGGGGTCAATACTGGGTTCAATACTGTTCAACATCTTTGTTAACGACCTGGATGATGGAGGAGAGTCTACCTTCTGTGAGTTTGCTGACGATACAAAACTGGGAGGAGTGACTGATACACCAGAGGGTCATGCTGCCATTCAGAGAGACCTCGACAGGATAGAGAAATGGGCAGACAGGAACCTCATGAAGTTCAACAAAGTCCTGCACTTGGGGAGGAACAACATCACGCACCAGTACATGTTGGGGGCCAACCGGCTGGAAAGCAGGATTTTTACCACGAGGGTGACCAAGCACTGGAATGGGTTGCCCAGAGAGGTCACGGAGTCTCCATCCTTGGAGACATTCAAAAGCTGTCTGGACATGGTCCTGTGCAGCCTGCTCTAGATGGCCCAGGGAGGTTGGACAGGACAACCTCCAGAGGTCTCTTCCAACCTCAGCAATTCTGTGATTCTGTCACCCATGTGCAATTTACTTACTTGAGGAATCTCAGCCAAGACTTTCGGACAATTTTGAGGTTTCCATAATCTGGGTAGAACACCTCTACTTCTTGGTCATTGATCACACGGTGGATAATAACACGGTACCACCATTTTGAGACCGTTACACAGCAAAGCTGTCCAGGCTGTACTGAAGACTCAGGCATGATATAACGATCAGAAACAAGTTTATTTGAGTAACAGTGCCTGCAAAAGATCATAATGAAAAACTGTGCTTGGTAGGATGCAGGAGATGAACAACGAGAAATATACGGGGCTTCAGAAGAAACCTTATTTCTCGAAGTCCCCATGACATGGATTTTCAGGAGTTATTTTAATAGATGCTTTACATCTCTGTTCTGCTATACTTAAACTGAAATGACAATAAAAAATGCAAACCCAAACTTTTAACATTTGAATGATATTCTTGGGGTCCAACATAAAGTTAATTAATGAGGATTAATCAGAGGCTAAATACAGTCATTCTAGTCATTAATTTTTAACATCACCTTGACATGTCAGTGCTTCTTATGATCCAGGTTCTGGAGTACTGGCTCACATACACAGTATCTGTCTGCAGAGTCTGTAATCACACTTACACGTGCCCCACGGACATCAAGTATTTACTTTGGCACACAATTAACAGCAACTGTAGCACTATTGTAGTGGAATAGAATCCCAAATGCATGATGTAACTGACACAAAGCCACTGATGGGGTTTTGCTTTCAAATATAGATATGACAAAGGCCTATTACCTGTTGCTTTTGCTAAGCGTTGGAGATGGAAGTAAAAGCCTTAACTGAGCACATTAGCAACAGTAGTGCAGACAATAGAGAGGTGCAAAGGAACCCTAAAGTTCCTTTCCATAACCTTTCCCGGCTTCTAAAGTTTAAGACTGTCTAGACAGAGCCAAACTACTGTGAATTGCTATTAACCATACTTACTGCTTGCTAGTTAAAAGGAATGGGTAAGCATTATGAGTACGTGTTTCAGTACAGCACTAGCATCTCCATATCAAGTAATGAAGCCAGCAGTGACCATAACTAACAGCTGGGTGCCCTGTTCCCTCAGCGCAAACACACACACAACGGGTAGTAGTATTGAATTGGCATAGCATGTTCGCACCTCATCTCAATCATCATATCCTGCAGTTTATCAGACGTTTCCCTGCTGCAGATGTGGATGTAGAACTGGCTAGGAGAGACGATGAATTCCACAAAGACTCCCACCAAGCACCTTCTCTCCAGTGGTGGTAAACTGCAAAGGCTTCTGTCCTGAACAGCATCTGGGGGGATTTCTGGAGTCATTATCAACTTGTCTAGTAGGGACTGCTCCAAATCTTGAGGCTACAAAGAGATAAGAGGAAGGTGGCACTCAGATGTCTCATCATGCATTGAACACACGACTGGTCTTTCCCTTAAGGTAAAAAAAAAAAAGTTCTTCTTTCCTGGGGACCTGTGAATTACTGAATATCGGAGAATCCCAACAAATTGCGCAAGCTTGGATTAAAACTTTCCCTGTGATAGAAGCATTCATTTTCATACCCTCTCCCCTCCTTCTTTCTTCCCTCCATTGTAAAGAGGGGTGCAACAAAAATACCTTGCTCATATTCCTGCAAGGAATAAAGGACACGAATTGAAGTCATGTCACATATTTAGACAAAAGCATTGAATGGCTATTGCTAAAAAAAACAAAACAAAAACCCACACCAAAAGAACCAAACACAAGCCACCTGTTTGTTGGCTTTTTCCCAAAAGATGCTATTTCTATGTTCCATGACCATGAAAGAGTGCATGACTGAACCAGCAAAACTCTGAAAATGATTCAAAAGTGACAGAAGGCACAAATGCATCTCACTTTCACACTAGAGCTATTTCCCAAGGATAAAAACACACAAAACCTACAAATTCTGTTCTTTTCTCACTCTAGACAAATTTGTATGAGTGAGTTGCTAGTACAGCTTACAATTTTGCATTAGTCTTCAACTGCTGAAAACATTACTTCACTTGAACTAGTGTGGATGGCAACCTTAATCAGACATCAGTTACTTTCACTGCCTCAAGAGCTTTCTTTTGTGCCAACGAACAGCACTCCTCCAACAATCAGAAGTCAAAATTATTTCAATTTTACTCATCATGAATATGCTACAAGTTACCACTGCATTATACATCAGGCAATGTATGGGAAATTTGTCTTCCAGCACACACCCCATTGCTTATTTGACTAAATTCAAATGCAAGCAATGGGTTTTCACAATACTGGCTCTTTTAACCATTTTTTAAAGAAGCAGATAAAGAGTCTCTCCTTCTGCAGACAAAAAAATTCAAGGGCGTTAGCCCTTGCTTAGAGTTAAAAATTTTGACTAAAACATTGAGTTAAACAGTGAGTTAACATTTTTGAGTTAAAGAGCAACTGAGGGAGTCCTAGCCTGAGCAGCAGCATCACCTCCAAAAAACCCTCAGAGTTTACGGATTTCCTCTAAGTGCCTGTGAATAGAGGCATTTCTAAGGGACAGTTTTGTTCCAAGAATGCTCTTCGTATCAGACTGTTAAGGGCACATATGATCTTTATAATCTAGCTCACACATTGGTAGGGACAACAGACATTTCTGTGAAAGACATAGAAGACGTACTTAAAAACACGTTTACAAAAAAGCAACAAAATTATAAAAAGATAAACCAATAGAACACACTGTAAAACTAGGCTTACAAGAGGTATGGCTTGCAAGACTGGCTAACTCCTTGCCCTAAGCTGGACTGGCAGCTGTCACAGTGTGATGTGGATAACACCTTTCCTTCTGCTCAGGGTGGCAAGAAAAGCTGCTGAGAGCCGTGGCTCTATAAACTTCACCCTTAGGGCTGAGTGGATTGACTCAGCCCTTGTCCCTTACAACACTTAAGCTATTAGTCTCTCAAAACTGGATACTCGGATACCTTGCAGCAGGGCAGGGATCAGGTCGCAACTTTCCCCCTCTACCTCACAGCATCCCGATGAACAAGTGTTCATTGCATATGCGAAGTAACAGATTCCAACCTGCTTTTCTCCCCTTTAGGGATTTTTTTTAAACAAAATGGCAAACTTGGCGTTTCATGAGGAATACTGGTTGTACAAACATCTTCCAAGACTTATCCTGCTAGGATCTTTAAACAGGTTCCCTTTACAATACATAAGAACAAAAATCTGACTTGGGGTTACCAGGACCACATACCCCCTTTTTAACCCTTCCCACAAGCAGACTTTTTGATCTAGGGGAATTCCCTGTGAACTTCATCATATCAAACTAAAATTTCTTTAAAGGATCAGAACAGCCTGCCAAAAATCTCTAAATGGTATGTTTTATGAAGAGCTGCACAAAGTCCAACTCATAGTCCCAGGCTTCCAAGTTCATTAGTGCACAAAACACCGAATTCAGGAAGAATTCCTTGGGACCCTTTCTCTGCCTATACATCCCAACCATACAGTTGCATACAGCCACAAGACGAACTTGGCAGAGGAAATAACTCTCAGGAGGATTTTCCTGAGAAAAGGAAGGCCTAAAGATGCTCAAAAGAAAAAAAAAAACAAACAAAAGCCAGAGGGGACACAAACAAATTCTCCCAATCAGGTTTGGCAGTTCAGATCCTCCGTACTGTTCTTCTCCATCTCTTTCTAAAAATACACTGCTAAACAAACAAACAAACAAAAAAAAAAAATCAAAATTTTCAAAGTCAAAAAATTTTCAAATAGTAGAGTTGAGACTGCAGGAATCAAGGTCTCTGAGGACCATTTCCCAGCTCTGTCGCACAGCTGCTTGACACTTAAACCCTGCCTACTGCAGCAGGGGAAATTCCACACAGCTAGTCTCAGAACAAAGTTATTAAAATTCAATTACAAGTAAGTACACCACAAATCACCACTCTTATCAGGGAGCAAGATGATGCTTAACTGACCTCAGATGATCTGTAACATAGATCTCAAGACCGGAAAGAGACCAGAAAGAGACAAGAAAAAGACCTAGTCTGGGTAGCATATAAAGCTATACACCAGGTCAGCATGAGTCTGGTCATCTCCAGACTCATCTAAAACGGGTACAAAAGTTTTTGGAAGCAGCAGTGCATCAACAACACAAACTCAACAGAAACAAAAGCAGTGAAAAGAGTATCACCCCCAGATTACATGATAAAGCTACAGATCGCTCATCCAGCCACTTACTTGTTTGAGGCCATCACCCAAATCTACTGCTCGTGTTTCCACTGGCTCTGACTTCTCTTTTGCTGTCAGGTGGAAGCTTTCTGTCTCGCAGTTGGGTTCCAAAGGAGGCATCTCAGCTGCAGGTGCTGCTGTAAAGACAATAATTTGGCTTTTATTCTTTATTGGACTGATGCACTGTTACATATTAAGCAGAAAGAGAAGACATCTGAAAATGAAAGTCTGAAAGCACTGGTGCTGTTTTCCTCATCTCTTGTAACATTCACAGCCACCACATTCACGAGGATTCATTTGAAAGGCATCCTTCACTGTTATTAATTTAAAAAAAATTTAAAAAAACACTTGCTCTTGTAAGCATGCTAAGGGTTAAATCAATTGCTAGAACGATGCTAAAATGAATTTTCCTCAGAAAAGTCAGGAATTTGGCAGGAACTGTATGTGATTTTCTGCCTTCTCTCATAGCTGTTATGGGAACGCTGAGGATATCTGCAGTGTCTTCTGTTTTCTTTTGTGGAACATTGTAGCTGTGCCTTTCAGAGTAGGGCTAAACCTTCAGTCTCAAAAAGCGCATCAGAAAGGCTTTACCAGCCCGTGGAGCAGAATTTCAGGAGATCCTTCTAGTTCTGTTATCTATTGCCTGGAATGACTAGAAATTCCAGTCCTGCACACACATTCAGAAAGTCCGTACTCTGAACGGGCTAAACATCCCTTCTTTCACCTCACAACAAAAAATGGTGGCAACCTGTAGAAAACTTCCAGTTAAGCTCTCTGCTACCAAGACAACTCCCTTGAGGCAGCTGCTTCTACAACACCCCACAGTCCCTCTGTGCTAAAACCTAGGGGAACCGGGACTACTACAGCAACTGGAAATGCAGCAACATCTACTTGAAATACAGTTGCTTGGCCACAGCCCTTGCGAGAGCTACATGCTTTCAGTTAAATAACACACCGCCTCACCTTGCAGCATCTCTTCCTTCTCTATCTCACTTGCCAGGTACTTCTTCAGGGTCAGCAAGGAACCTGCTCTTGTCTGCTCAACTGCAATGATATCAGACACGCTTCTGAGGACTTCAAACATGGAGAAAAATCCATATTGCGTGTACTGGAACGCCCGGCCAAAGCGTCTGAAGAAGGCCTTATCAAAGTCCAAGAGCAGAAGTGGTGAGGAACTCAGCAGATCCTGCAGCTCAGCCTTCACCGTTGCTGGCAGGACGGGAGCCCTGCCCCTCCGAAGGAAACTCTGTGGATTCTTAGAGGGAGAAGCAGCATCTGCCTTCACAGCAGCACTCTTCCGTGCCCTAGCACTTCTCTGTCTGGCAACCAGTTTGGCAATCGCTTTGGTGGTCTCATCTGCAATGGCTACAACAGAAAGAAATAAACTATTAGTCTACCAAAACAGCAAACCATTAAAAGCTCTATGCAGGCAAAACTCCTCTTCTCTCCTTTCTTTCCTCTTCTCCCCACCCTTTTCAGAAGCAGGTGCCTCCTTCAAAAGCAATCACTCTAAATCATGTCTGATTTCCAGCAGGGCAACCACTTTTCCTCTCCCTTTGCAAACTGGACTGAACCAGATTTAACAGCCAACAACCAATCTAACAACCAATCTGCACCATCATTCCTATAAATCCAGATCCAGGTAGGAAGATGGGTCAAATTCTTGGATACAGGATCACAACAGGAAACCCAGCTGCTGCAAGTTTTCTTGGGAAAACAGTAAATGGCTCATTGCTCCCCTCAGCCAGAATCACAGTAAACCCCCACTATAGAACACCCACCCACCCAGGCAAGGTCTTCCTGGAGAGCAGCCCAGGTCTCTTCCATGCTTTTAAACAACTTTTTCTTGTCTTACTGTAGCACTCTGAAAAAATATCATTTCACCCTTCCCAATCAACTCTTTGCACCTACCCTTTGTTTCCACAGCTCTTCCTCAAAGAAAAGGAAAATGAGAAAGGTTCTTTGATACAGACTAAACTTCCCATGGGGTCAGGTAGGGAAACATTTACAACTTCTCCTGAGAGGCCCCATCCCTGGTTTTGGCTCCTGCTGTAGTCTGCATTTAAGAAACGTTACTGCAGTTTTTCAACTAAGTGCAGAATGCAGAATGTACAAAAATAACTAGAAGCCTATGTGACTTTTCAGGAGGAAAGAGTGGAAAAGCATTAAAAGGCAGATCAAAATACGGCAAGACAAAGAAATTAAAAGACAAGAAATTAAACAGAACTATATGAGAAAAAGAATAACACAGATATGTAACCTACAGCTCTGGGAATTCATCCTGCACATCCCCGTTTTGGAGCATCACTTCATACTAGTATGTAGTTCCAAATAACTCCTCCACCCGTAAGGAAACAAAACCTCACCTTTGAGGATAAAAGTGTCTTTCTCATAAGGACAGACTCTGACAACTTCAGGCATATCTTCCACCAGCTCCAAGGTGGATCGGAAGCCCAAGTCACGTAGAGGGAGAGGTTTGCCGATCATGGCCATGTACTCCTGCTCCAGCTGTGCTGGGGTTAAGCCCTCTTTGGCAGCCATTAGCAGTGATCTCACCTCCTTCTTCAGCACCTCCATAAGCTGCGCCTGCTTTGACATATCTGCACTAAAGGAGAAACAAAAGCGAGCAGAAAACAACTTGTACCACAGCTGCTCAAACACAGGCAAAAGACTTTTTACCACTTAGCAACTGAAAGCTGGTGCGGGGAGAGGGCAGCAAGCCAGGTTCACCAACAGCCACTACCTACCAACCCCCGTATTTCCCTGCCTGCACCTCCGGAGCTGCCACCCATTGGCACCTGCTGTCCCAGCTAAGATCATGGCTCCTCCTGCATTCGCTGCCTGTCCCCATGGGATCGTGGCCCCTACATGCATTGCATCCCCCAGAGTTTAGTGCACCCCTAAACCCCTGCCCCACGGACTGCCCTCTACAAACCCTGCCACTCCACGGAGACCCCTGCACCCCTGAACTGCTGCCTGAGGATCTCCCCACCCCCACCCCATGGGCTCACTGCCCCTCACAGAGATCCCTGCGCCTCTAAACCTGGGCCTGAGGATTCCCCCCTCTGCCCCATAGGGTCACTGTCCGCTAAAGAGATTCCTGTGCCCCTAAACCACAGCCTGAGGACCCCCCACAGAGGCCCCAGG